AAAGTGTAATATACTTGCAATATTGCCAGGCCAAAACCCTGCAAACCCTCGTCCTAGAGAACCAGGTGATGCCAAAGGCATTTGTCAGCAACACAGGGAGTCTACTGGGCAGACAGTTCATAGTGGTAAAAGCCTGTTCAGCACTGAAGTGGCTCCACTGGATGAAGGCAGATAAGCCCTGGTTAACCCACTGGATTTTAAGTTTACAGCCCTATAATTTTATGATAGAGCACTGACTAAGGAAGCAGCCCTGTAACACTGACTTCTTTTCCAGGGCCAGCAAGAACCACAGGACCATAAGGACCAAAAAAGAAAGGGGGAGGTGTCCCTACCCCATTACTAAAGGAGACAGGGAGCCCAGGGGTAACTGGCTTTCCCCAGCCCTTGGGACAGGCTAACATGGGCAGAGAGCCCTGGAATAAAATGGCCACCCATCCCAGGTGCAAGCAGTGACCGACAGGCTGGGGGGCAGAAGTGGAGGGTCAGGTGACCCATAAGCACATGGCCTATGCCAGTAGGGACAGTCTGGCCATAAGAACCTCAGGTGGCAGAGCTCCAGGAGAGAGCCAGGCCAAGTGGCCCAGGGGAAAGCCTCTGAGCTGCAGGGGAGTTAAAAGGACCCCCTGCATCCCAACAGAAACAGACAAATGCCTCAGGTATTTATGCCAGGACTTCTGCAGGGCAAGATTAACGCCAGGAGGGAAACCCTTTGTTTTGAAGTGGACGCTCATGCTTTTTGATTTTCATTTAACCTGGAGGACCAGGAGTGGCTGAAAGGGGCAGGTTGGAGGCCACAGGGAATGCAGCAAGGGCCCTCAGTGTAGAGCCCTTCCCAGGGCTGTGACCCAGGGGGCTGCACAGGTCCAGTATCCCATGTCCTGAAGAAAGACTGTTATTGTTTGACAGAAGGTGGAGATAAAACATATCAAAGGCTGGGACACAAGTCCAGAGCTCATAAGGGTGTGAACAGGGGGTGAGGAGCCCAGAGCCCGTGAGGACCAGAGCTAGGGCCTGGGAACTTGCAGTCCTGGAACAGTGGACCCCAGGCAGAGAGGATCAGCCAGAGTAAAGTGGAATAAGGCCAGGGGGCCTCAGCCCAGACAAGGACCTGCCATCCAAACCCCTCTTTTGACCTTTACAGGCAGCCTCCCTGTCAACTTGCAACATCAAGCTGTGGCAGGTGAGACCACAGTGTGACAGCCTATGGAGCCAAAGGCTGCAACAAAGTGGGGCCTGGGCAGTGGCCGGGAGAGGTGTCTTTGCCACCCCAGCACTGGGCATGTTACAGCTATTCCCTTCACAGTTTGCTTCCTCCTCTCTCTTGCTTTTCCTTCTGAGATCTTTTACGCTCCCAGTAGAATATTCTCACATTAAAAAGATACAGACCTCCCTCTTACAACCTAACATGTTGTTTTTTTCCTAGTCCCATTTTTGAAAGACACTGAACAAGGTGGAATACCAACTCTTTAGGACCTTATTCTGTTCTGCTGGATGAGAAATGAACTATGGACAATTATAGGAGATTCCAGGATTTTCACTGTATAGCAACTCCTCAGGTTTGCCCTGTTGCAAGTTTAGATGCTGGCCCCTGCTTGGATTTCGATTGGGCTGGTTGAAAAACTGACCTATAGAAATATGAGGGGGAGATTTTCAGAGATCCAAATGGGAGCTAAGCACCTAACTGTCCATTTTGCCTAAGAAAGCTTTTTCTCAAAAAAATTATACTCTTCCTTTAATGGGGTGAGTATTACCCTTTTATGAATCTTGTTTCTGGAATGAGTCTGGAAAAAGAAAGTTTCCCAAAAAGGAGTGGGAGCAGGAAAGATGCCTGGAGCAATACAAAGGCAAGCTTTTAATCCTGGGAGAACAAGCTGGCTGCCGGGCACTTAGTACTAAAAACAAGTTCTCTGCATTTTCAGATGAATAAAATAACTTCAAAAGCAGCACTTCACATGTGTGAATCATTTTGAGTGCATAGCACACTGAACAGACAATTGGGGGACAGCTCTGAAGATCAGTTGGCTATTAAACAGATACAGTTATTGAGGCTTTATCGTATAGGCTATGATAATACAGACACACAGAAATGGTTCATTTCCAAGAGAGACCAAGTGACCAAAGGCTGTGGCTGTGGAGGGACAAAAACCAGGCTGAAGCACTCTGGGGGAGATGGAGTGTCAATGGGTAATGAACCAGTCACCAAGACAGCTGCCTCAGATCATAGCTCAGGACAAGATCTCAGCTCTAGTCCCTTAAAAAAAGGGTTGTCAGAGCAGACTGGGTGTTGACCTGTCCTGAAAACCCATCCTTTTGGTTTTCAGTTAGGTTTTATGTACCATTACTGGTTGTTCATAGATTCATAGATTCATAGATTAAGGGTCGGAAGGGACCTAGTAGATCTTCTAGCCCGACCCCCCGCCAGGGCGGGAGAACAACAAAAACCCCAAAAAGAGAAATGGGACTCAAACGAGTCCAGCTAGGTGGGCATCCAGCCTCTTCTTAAAGACCCCCAGGGTAGGGGCCAGCACCACTTCCCTTGGAAG